TTTCTTTTTTCTCTCACTTATGTTCCAATTTTTCCTACCGCGTGATGTTCGCAGTATCTTAAAATAGACTAAGGCTTTGCTACTGCTTTTCTCAAGGGGCATTTCCAGTGTTGATCAGTTCCTATATTCTCTATATCTCATCCAAGATCTGGTCAAATGCTATTAGAACTGCAAGGTTTATGTTGGTGTTTGCTCACCATGACAACAGTTTATTAGACGAACGCTCATCCTTTACAGATAGCTTAATTTTATCCATATACTTACATTGACAACAGTTCGTTTGGTGGGCCCCACCAATTCACCGTCTTCTGGTCGTGTTGAGGTGTTTTACAATGGTACATGGGGAACAATTTGTGACGACTTATGGGACTTACAGGATGCTGATGTAGTTTGTCGCCAACTTGGATACGATGGAGCTTTATCAGCACCTGGTGATGCGAAATTTGGACAAGGAACTGGTCCGACATGGCTGGATGACGTGCAGTGTGTAGGAGATGAGACATTTATATCACAGTGCAATCACAAAGGATGGGGAAATCACAACTGTGGGCATTATTCAGACGCTAGTGTGTTGTGCAAACCCAAAGGTAGAGTAACGATACGAACCTTCAAACATATGTTTTGAATTTGACAATCTGCTTTTTTTCTTGTTGTTTTGTTGTTGTTACAATGGCTTGTTTGTTGTCGTTCTTCCACCTGGAAACTGAAGTCAAATGAGGTGCTTTTTATGACATTTAGACATCAAATTACATTCAGACATCGAATTACCTTGGTTCCTGTTTCTGTTCGAGCATTCAAATATATGTTTTGAATTGTCACAGTCTGTTTGTTTTGTTGTTGTTGTTGTTGTTGTTGCTGTTGTTGTTGTTGTTGTAATGGCTTGTAGTCATTCTTCCACCGAAAAACTGAAGTCAAATGAGGTGCTTTTTATAACATTTGGACATCGAATTACCTTGTTTCCTGTTGTGAAACGTACGGTAGAAATGTCCAAATTCATGAGACTTGCAAAGAACTATCGAAAGTGTATTTATAGTAGAACTCAGAGAGAAGGGAAAATTGGTAAGTTATTGATCGGCCAAGGGTCGTGACAGAGGTCTCTCTTAAAAATGCTACACAGCCGACAAAACATTTAAAATATTTAAAGGAAAACTGGCGACGATACCAATGATGAAAAGGCGATAAAACACGCAACGGATAGGTTACTGCCCGCGATGAGCTGTGAATGGAAGAATACTGCCCGCTCTCGGAACCAATCAGATTGCACGATTTATATAATACCGCCTGCTGACGCATTGAAAAACAAATATTGCAAGATACCACAAATCAAGGAAAATGGTCGAATATGGCCTTTGTGGTAAACACCATTGATCCGCAGTTTAATCAGCAATATACAATAAAAATTTAAATTGAAAAAATTGAAAAAATCATTTAGAGAGCATGCCAGGCAGTCTGGAAGATAACCTGTCCTAAAAAAACCAGAGGAAATCTGAGACTGCATGGCCAGGCACAGCTCATGTCCCACGCCAGGACTACTACGTTAAAATTACACTGTATAAGCAGACTGCATTTAAACAGCTAGAAGAAAAATAGGATAAGCGAAGAATTAAATCATAGCAACAGTCATTTGACACACTTTGACTGTGTGCTCAATATCTATCTTTGAGGAAGGATACTTCCACCCCGCGATTGCATATTCAATAAGTCACCTGGCATACGCGAGATTTGACGCGGCACCAGTCTTAATACTCTGAATACCGAACTTGGAAATATCGTTCGAAAACGGTTCTTTGTGATTTTTAAATTTATATCAAAGTGTAGTTACAGACAGTTTTGACAAAAAAGTGGATATTCGCAATTGTTTGACTGCAGCACGAGCTTAACGGGATTTTCGGCTAAGTGCAAGAATAACCAATACTAAGAGAGTCATTCTTCCTATCTTGTCTAAGTCTATTTGTCTGGTTGCCATAGCAGCATAAATTGTCCTGCGAACCCCCCTGATAGCAACGTCCTTAAGACTTATAATGTTGATTTCGTCAGCACGGAAAAATCCATAAAATCCAACCAGACAAAAAAATAAAAAGCGGACGCCAGAGAGAGAATTATACGTAACATAAACAACAGCCATAGCTTGCACTGTATCGGCAGACAAAGGCTCACTGGGCTGCACTGGACGAACAAGCTTTCTTTTTGCGCCCTCGACAGACGACTTCACGAAAGGATGACTAGTGGAGCACGATTCAATCTCGATCATAGTATGACCCCCTGTGGTACAATAACACACCCATATTAATATCCACACAAATTTCCGTAAGCTCAAAACGCTTCATGCCAGATCCCAGAACGAAGAAAGTCTGAAACAAAAACAAGGAGACGTCTCAAAGCTTGATAATACAACCGAATTACAATTAATAATACATGTAGCAGATAAAAAATTTAGTGAATAACTCTGAACTTAATCAAAAGAAAATCATCTTACAAAAAAATGCAACGCAATTCAGTGATCTGGGGTACCACTGCGACTAGAGGGATGTATCCCGTGTAAAACAAAAATAATTTATAGATAACGTAACCGAATGCAGATGAACTTTACAACTACTTAAGGAAAGTATCGAGATATACTTATAGTTTTGGCTATGCGCGAGCCGTCAATATTTCGTGGCATTGCCGTCTCACTTTTGCAGCCTGTGAAATTTGGTATTTCATCACCAAATGGCTCGTCGAACTCCATTCCTGTGTAATCTGCAACATTTTTCGGTTTCAATCAACTCACTTTATGGTAACAAAGACTATAAGCTTGCGCGGATTTTCAAATACCCGCGACAAAGTTATTTGAGTACGAAATTAGTGTTACCATGGATACGTTTCGCAGGTAGAAAGAATTGATATTTCGATCAGGCGCGGGTTGATTATCTTACAGTTTTATTTATCCTTATAAATGATGGATCGCGATACAAAACTAATTGCGATTTTGAGACGGCAGTACCACAATATATTGACGGCTAGCTGGGAGAAAATTTATTCAGTATATACGGAATATATTTTCTCCCAACTAGCCGTCAATATAATGTGGAATTACCGTCTCAAAATTGCAATTAGTTTATATTGGATAGCTTTCAGCTCACAGATAGTAGAGGTTTGACCGAGTTTATCAGACGTAAACATACCGGTGGCCGTTACACTGTCCATAGATGCTGAAACCCACGAAAGCTTGCATCAGAAAAATGACAGTAGACTTATCAGGCGGAGGTCGAAGAGAGTAGCCATTAAATGAATAGATTTTCAAGTACCAGAATTAATATTCTTCCAAAACTGCTGGAGAGAAACGAAAGATGTGATCTCATCCTGATCCAGTCTCGATCGCCAGGTACATTTGCCTGGTGAAAATACATGACATAGGACCCGATGCTTTGGAAACCGAAATTAAAGAGCTTGTTATTCTGGCTAATTTGTGATACGAAGATAAGTTAAACTCGTCTGTGATTGCCGATTTTTAAGCTTGAGCACCTACTTTTTGTGAAATTCAAAAAGTTACAGTTACTGTGATGGTTTTGATTACAAAACCTAGCCATTTGCCTACCTGAATAGATTGAAAATGGGACTTTTCTTCGTTCATAAGAAGACCTGCGGAATCTAGCTCTTTTGATTAATTGCGGCCGCGACAACAAAACACTCATCCGGTTGACTTCTAAAACCGTCTATTGGCAAACTTCAGTCTTGTGAGATGCTGGCATAACTGCACTCGTGGTCAAACTATTCTGACTTTGCAGCGCCTAGAATGGCTGAACAAGCTGATTCTTGAGCCACAAGCTCTGTTGCAGGTCCTGCAGATAAATACAGAAATGAAATTTGAATAATGGTGACGCTTTTTTCTCTTATCCTGCCACTGCTTTACCCTCCGCTCCTCTCCGTGTCTGACGGCAGTCTTGACAGCTGTTCTCCACTTGCTTCTATCTGTGGCCAGTGCTCCTATCCCATCTTCATATCGCGTTTACAGGCGTCTTTGTAACGCAATTTGGGCCTTCCAGTGTCTCGGGAGCCAGTTGCAAGTTCGCCATACAGGTTATCTTTAGGGATTCGTCCATCATCCATTCGTCTGGCGTGGCCGAGCCAGCGAAGGCGCCTTTGGCTGAGTAATACAAACATTCATGGGGTGCCTGCAAATTCCAGGACACTTGTATTTGGGATGTGGCCCTGCCATTTTATGCCCAAAATTCTCCTGGAAAGTTTTGAGCCTCAATTGGTAGAGTGCTGCACTAGTATCGCAGAGGTCAGTGGTTCGAATCCCGTACAGGCCTGATTTTTTTCAGGTCTGATTTTCGCTATTGCTTAAATAGCGCTGTCTACTGCGAGGATCGTGCATCATACGTATCTAATACCGCAGTTCAAAATATATGAACTTCATATATACATTGTATCTGATTTATCATCACAGGTTTATTACGAATCAACTTAACGGCCTGCTCCCAGTTGGCTTGTTAGCTCAATTGGTAGAGCGCTGCACTAGTATCGCAGAGGTCAGTGGTTCGAATCCCGTACAGGCCTGATTTTTTTCAGGTCTGATTTTCTTTCAGGTCTGATTTTCGCTATTGCTTAAATGGCGCTGTCTACTGCGAGGATCGTGCATCATACGTATAGAGAAGAGTGCTTCGCACGCAGGTTTGGTAGACTTGCTTCGTGGTGTTGGTGATAAGTATGCAGTTCTCTAAAACCCTCACAGAGAGACGAGCCATGGCTGAGGCAGCTTTTCCAATTCTTCTGTTTAACTCAGAATCCAGTGAAAGGTTGCTTGAGATGATAGAGCCCAGGTAGGTAAATTCATACACAGCACTGAGTGTTGAGCCGTCGGTTTTGATGACCGGGATGTTGCTCCCATTCTGCCCAAGCACCTCACTCTTTCCTATGCTGATAGTCAGGCCAAATTCAGCAAAGGCATGTGCGAAACAGTCCGCCAGTCTTCAGTTGAAGAGAATCTGTAGAGTGCGTTGTTAATGCTGCGTCGTCTAACAAAAGCATTTCTCTTATTAGAACCTTCCTCGATTTAAGATAAAGAAAACTAACAAATTTTGCCCCACGGAACAACAGCGCTTCATTAGCGCAACAATTTGGTGAACAATTACAAGCACTACTAAGACCTAAAAGCTGTTAAATTAAAATAATCGAGCAAGCCATCGAATGACCTTGTAAGGCCGAGTAACGCTCGATGCTCTGAGCAGATATCCACTTTCCACTTGGCTGTTTCCCGATTTAAGGTTCAATGTAAAAAAATAGACAGTCAGAGACTGCATTTGGCTACTCATAGTACAATTTTATAGCATTGAAAAGAATTACAGGTTTTATGATAACACTAAAAGGTAGAGTTATAGAATAGAATATTTTTCTCTCATGCAAAACAGAAAACTACAAATACCGCGGCCCTACTCTAGGACTTAAGACATAGAGGGAAGATCTTCCTACTTGAACCTCAATTTGACCAGATAATTGTAAACGTGTCTTAGTAAATTACTAAGCGCAGCTTTTTGTGTCTCTTGGAAGAGTGGTAAGAGGTTGCGTAAGTACTTCAAATGGCAAAAAAACAAGGTGCAGTTCCGTTATAGTTTCTCTGGAGTTTATAGTACGTGATTAGGTACACGAATAAAGCGGTTATTGCGTTATAAAAATATGACAAGAATGCGTAACCAGTGAGCGAAACTCCTTGAGCAAAGAGGGATATTCGAGGCCACTTGAATTCGTAAAAGGAAACGTCGCGATAGAGCGTATCGTCGTAGAGAGCCATCGTCTTTTAGACTGTTGTATTTTAAGGAAGGACTGTGGTCGTCCAGCAAGGTTATTTCGATTAGAAGACCAGTCTTTTTTAGTTATTTATTCAAAATAGACTTCGGATCATACACGCTCATATTGCACCTTTAGTAACGGACCTTTTTTACTTTGTTCATCGCCACTTCTCTTTTAATAAAGTAGCAGCCGGCCCTACACGGCTATTGTGTGAGTTAATATATTTTACGATTTTACTTATTTTCTAGATGAGGATCCACCCTTCAAGAAGTAAAACACTGCATAATTAGTGGTTTCCTTTCGTTTTGACTTTAAGATTCTTTGTATTGGTTTAGTCTCCATTTCATTTTGTATGGCTAGTATGGTAACGCCTCAAAAACGAACGGAATTCATCGTGAATTTTTTCTAAACTGTATCTCTCCTTATTTTACAGAATTAAATATTTTACGGAAATCCTTGTGTTGAAGTCTTTTGCGTTTTTTTCGAGCCAAAATTTCCAAAAACTGATTTTATATCAAAACTATATTTGATGTTGCTTAAATATTTTCAAAATTCTGTTCTTCGGTATTTATAATTTGTCTTAGATTGGCTTCTCACTAAGATTACAATCAACATTTATCACCTTTGAAATAAGTGGTTTATTTCTATTCACACCTATGCAGTTGTTCGTTTACTGAATGCCAACAATTCGCCTTCTTCTGGTCGTGTTGAAGTGCTGTACAATGGTACATGGGGAGGCATCTGTGGTCGCCTCTGGGACCAACAGGACGCTGATGTAGTTTGCCGCCAGCTTGGTTACGATGGAGCTTTATCAGCCACTACTGGTACAGCATTTGGAAAAGGAACCATTCTAATCTGGCTGGATTACGTTAACTGTGTAGGAAATGAGTTATCATTAACACAGTGCAATCACAGAGGATGGGGAGTTCATTCCTGTGGGCGTAATTCAGACGCTGGTGTGGTTTGCCAACCCAGAGGTAGAGTAGCGATACGAGCATGAAAATAGAGCTAATCAAAACGTGAGAAAGCTGATGCATATTCGACATTATTACAAGAAACCTTTCTATCACGAAGAAAGGGAAGTGCGTCATTGTTAGCATATTGAAAACGTTGGGGTATTATGTCGACTTGGGAATAAGGCGGGGATACTGTTGGAGTGTATATTATTTAGATTATTAATAAGTTTCTTGTTTCTCTTATTTTTTTTAATTTTTCCCACCACGTTATGCTAGCAAAGTAATTTCTCATAAACCGAAGTTTTCTGCTCTTTTTTCTGTTTTTTTTTTTCTGTGCATTTCCAGAGTTGTTCAGTTTTTATTTTTTATATATTCCGTCGAACGATCTGATCATTTCCTATTATAGTTACGAGGTTTATCCTGGCCTTTCACTCAGCATCAAAACAGTCTATCTGACGAACGCTCACTACGTATACTTTCAGCTAAACTTTATCCATATATTTTTATTGACAAAAGCTCGCTTGGTGAGCCCCAACACTTCATCGTCTTCTGGTCGTGTTGAAGTTTTTTATAATGGTACATGGGGAACCATTTGTGACGACTACTGGGACTTGAAGGACGCTGACGTGGTTTGTCGCCAGCTTGGATACGAAGAGGCCTTATCAGCACGTGGTATTACAGAATTTCGACAAGGAAAAGGTCAGATATGGTTGGATGACGTTAAATGTGTAGGAAATGAGACAACGATAGTCCAGTGTCGCCACAGAGGATGGGCAGTTCACAACTGTGGGCACAGTAAAGACGCTGGTGTGATGTGCAGACTTCCAGGTAGAGCAAAGATTTCCTTTATCACTGATTTATGACTTTTTGTGTTTACTAACCATCGGATATTTTTCCTTGAGCCCGACTGATTCGGATTTTCCCCTGCCAAAACAGGGGAATATCCGGTCAGAAACTTCAGTCACTATTTCGAGTACTTTAATATTATCATCTCTAGTCGTGGATACGCGAAGCGTGGATCGACAATTGTTAGAGTCAGAATATACAAAGTTTTCACTCACTCAGATGTAAACAAATCGATATGTCAATGGCAGACCAATTGATATCGACCTTCCGAACTATACCGGAACGCCTCTATCGAGGAAAGCGAAGCTTCGATTTTGTGGATAGCCATTTTCTTCACTTTTCTGGTGCTTTCACCTCTCTTCTCTTGTTGACTACGCTAATATTTTTATGTGAAAATCAGAGTGTGTACACTCATGAAAATATATCAAGTCCAAGCAGCAGTTTTCGTCTCGGTCTACATTCTTTTTCAACAAAATAAAAACCATACACATATCGGTTTAAAAGGTGAAGAGTACGGACCACGTACAAAAACTGTCGTTTGTTTCTACACTGATATCTTGTGCGCGAGGAGGCATGTGGATGTATGTGCCCCTCGTTCCCGAGCTGCAGGTGACGGAATTTTAGCTTTGAGACACATCGATACCTCGACTCCAAAACGCAATACGAGTTATCGGTGGAAAATAAAAGCTTTGCTACTTTTGGAACCTTCTTTTAGACCCATTATCATTCTCATCCGTGATTATCTTTACTACTATTAAATGTTGGTTCACATTCGCTGGCTATGTTTCTTTCTAACCTTGACTATATAAGAACAAACTCCATCGTAATTTTTTGCTACATAATCTTCAGAGCTAAACTAGTTTACTGGTAACAACTACTTAGTAACTTTTGCTTCTGTTCAACAGCTGTTCGTTTAGTGAAGTTCTCATTACCAAGTTCTGGTCGTGTTGAAGTGTTACACAATGGTAAGTGGGGAACCATTTGTGACCACTATTGGGACAAGCAGGACGCTGATGTAGTTTGTCGCCAGCTTGGATACGATGGAGCTCTAGGAGCAGTTCGTAACGCAGCATTTGGACAAGGAACAGGCCAGATATGGTTGGATGACGTGCAATGTAAAGGAGATGAGTTATCAATATCTGACTGCATTCACTTAGGATGGGGAGCCCACAACTGTCGTCACAATCACGACGCTGGCGTAGTTTGCCGGCCTGCAGGCAAGGCTTCGATACAACCACATTTTTTTTCAGTTTTTAGGGGTTTGTGCTGATTTAATTCGAGTATCACTATTTGCATTAAGCAATTGCTAACGACCAATGTTCAGGTAAAACCATCTGAAACAGATACTTTTAACTGATTACAAGAGAAATCTTTCATTAGGTGCTGTAAGGGGTTTTCAATGGGGTACTCATAACCCGTCACCAACTATTATATACCAATATGAACATATTAAGCATCACGTCAGGTCTTTTAACGAGCCCTAAAATTGTAAAACAAGCTTACTTATATTCTCACATTGACAACAGTTCGTTTAGTAAGTAGCACCCATTTATCGTCTTCTGGTCGCGTTGAAGTGTTTTACAATGGTACATGGGGAACCATTTGCGACGACTACTGGGACTTACGGGAAGCTGATGTAATATGTCGCCAGCTTGGATACGATGGAGCTTTATCAGCTCCTGGTGATGCAGCATTTGGACAAGGAACTGGTCAGATATGGTTGGATGACGTAGAATGTGTAGGACATGAGACAGTTATAGCACAGTGCAATCACAAGGGATGGGGAATTCACAACTGTGGCCATTATTCAGACGCTAGTGTGGTGTGCCGACCTAAAGGTAGACTTACGATACAAGTGCTTTTTACTAATATCTTTACTAAGCATGAAAACAAAAACAATCAGAACACGAAACAACCTCTGCACATTCGACGGTATTGGAATTGTAGCCTTTGTATCCCACAAAGCGATCTTATTTGCATTAAAGGTAGCATGGGTCACCATTTCCTGATTCAAGTTTTCCACCGTTATACTACAACCTTTCTCGAAAGGCCTTCTTGTTTTCATGGTCATTGATATCAGGAATTAACATTGAAAGATACAAGATAACATTCAACAAGAAACTATTTTAATAATTAAATTTATTGTAGGGGCATTAAGCTTGGGATCTGTTTATTAATGAGGTCAGTACTGAGCTCTAGCAAAAAATGTAGCTGACTTAAGTGTAGCCTGGTTATTCTTATATTGCAATTCTCTAGTTTTGGACTTTATCTTCATCATAGCAAAGCTTCAGGTAGCGAAAAGTATGAACGAAAACCATTCGTCTGGGAATCAAAGAACAAGCAACTCTATTTCTTTAGTTGTAATAAAGGTTATCCCAGGTCATTGTACGTAAAGTTTATTTTTTAAGCTTTCATGTTTGAATTGCCAGCCACAGCATCTCCAGCTTTCCATCTAAACCAGCTTTCGAGAGCCAGTCGTTGAAAGTAGTTAATGCTATAGGTTAGGGATTACCCACTGTAGACTTTAAAATACTTTTAATACGTCAGGGACACAAATAAGTTTTGAACGCGTACCAATCTTCTTTTATTTCACGGTGATTTACTAGAAGGATTACACGGTTCCTAAAAGGTAAAAGGAATTTGAAACAAACGATTCAATGGAGAAAGGAAACGCTGAATTAAAAACGAACCAAGCAATAGGACTAGTACTTACAAAACACGTTTTGCCCCAATAAAACGTAGAACAGACTAAGAAACTTGAACTAACTCGACTTACTCAAAGTCGTCACTAAAAATGACGACCATAACACGTGTGGCTTAGTTGCGGCGGGCTGGGCCCTAAACTAGCGCGTGAAAACTGTCAGGCGAAACGACAAACTTGAGCTTACACCCACAGTCCCATGTAATTGTCGAGATCACCTTTCCTCGTCGCCTGTTTGTGTTCGGTCCGCCTCGCCGGTCTCTCCGATGTAGGATGCGACGAGCGCGACTAGTACGCAACACAACAGACAGCTTATCCGAACAGAACAAATATCCTGACCGTGTTTTTTCAAAGAACAACTACAACGACGACTTCATCCGACGAAACACGTGCCAAGCTATTACTGAAACAAACGACACCGCAATTGCCACGACTACAGCAACCATACCGTATATAAAAGGCATGTCTAAGAACATCTCGCGCATCCTACAACCCTTCAAAATCCGCGTCGCCCACGAACCCAACACCAAACTCTGTCAGTTACTAACCAACGTTGAAGACAAGGACGAACCGAGGAACAAGCAGGGAGTGATTTATAACACCAATTGCTCAGACTGCCAAGCCTCCTACATTGGAGAGGCTGACAGAAACCTCGCAACAAGACTGACTGAACACAAACGGGCGACGAGGAAAGCTGATGTCAACAATCACATTGCTGAACATCATCGACTTAGCAGCCACACTATTGACTGGTACTCTGGGCAATCCCTAACCTATAGCACTAACTACTTTCAACGAATGACTCTGGAAAGCTTGTTTACCAACTTAGAACAGACTTCCTTAACAGGTGTCAACTACTACCGCCAACATATAAAAGATTCATTCACGACATCCACATTACAAACGAAACGGATAGAACGACCAAACTTTACAGACGGATCGAAGCAGACCAATCACGACCGACTTACGCCACTTGAATCTTACAGCCAGCAATATCACGGCAAAGCTGACCAATAATTTTAGACGAAGTGGACTAAGAACATTCTACTGACAACAACTATTCACGTGACTCTGATGAGGAATTCCGTACAGGTTGTCAAAACGTCAGTCACCACCACTGAAAACAGTCCTCCTCAGTCCTTCGCACCACCCTTTCACATGTTACCCTCCCGGTTCAAACCATTTACCGCTTTCTGTTCAGTTAGATTTCATTATCCGAGATTTTTTAATCCAAAATGACTTATTAATGCTGCTAGTAAGAGAGGCTTCCAAGTTTAAAAGTGCAGTTTGTGTTAAAGATCAGTTTCGGATTGAGAGACTTGGATATGTCCGTTCTCTACTTCCTTTTATTTCCCCAACAGAACAATGTAGAAAAGAAAAATCATAATTATCTTTTCTTACAGATTATTTCTGGATGCTCACTTCTTACTAACTGAAGAAGGTCAATTTGAGTTAACTGGTCGTAGTAAATAACTAATTCTAATTGTTATTGCATAATTTGGAGTTATCAACTGAGTTTATAATGTATATTGGCCAGCGTAAAGAGTTAATAAACTAAACTAGTTTACTACAGTGGTAACAAACACTGGTTAACTTTTATATCCCCTCAACAGCTGTTCGTATAGTGAAGTTCTCATTACCAAGTTCTGGTCGTGTTGAAGTGTTGCACAATGGTAAGTGGGGAACCATTTGTGACGACTATTGGAACAAGCAGGACGCTGATGTAGTTTGTCACCAGCTCGGATACGATGGAGCTCTACGAGCAGTTGGTAACGCAGCATTTGGACAAGGAACAGGCCAGATATGGTTGGATGACGTGCAGTGTAAAGGAGATGAGTTATCAATATCTGACTGCACCCACTCAGGATGGGGAGCCCACAACTGTTATCACCACGATGACGCTGGCGTAGTTTGCCGGCCTGCAGGCAAGGTTTCGTTACAACCACGTTTGCAAAGCAAACAAATTTATTTATTTTTCTTCTTTTTTTAGCCGTTTTAGCTGATTTAATTCGAGTATCGTTATTTGCAGTAAAAAAAAATGCAAACAACCAACGTACAGGTAAAACCATTCAAAACAGACATTTTTAAAAGTCCGGTTACTCCTTTTCCCTTCATCTAACTGATTACAAGAGAAATCTTTCATTAGGGCCGGTAGAGGGTTTTCAAAGGGGTATTGATAACCCGTCGCCGACTTTTATATAACAGTATGAACATATCAAGCATCAATTCAGGTCTTTTAAAGAGCTTTGAAGATGTTAAACAAGCTTACTTATATTCTCACATTGACAACAGTTCGTTTGGTAAGCCGCACCAATTCACCATCTTCTGGTCGTGTTGAAGTGTTTTACGATGGTTCATGGGGAACCATTTGTGACAACTCGTGGGACTTACGGGAAGCTGATGTAATATGTCGCCAGCTCGGATATGATGGAGCTTTATCAGCTCCTGGTGATGCAGCATTCGGGCGAGGAACTGGTCAAATATGGTTGGATGAGGTAAAGTGTGAAGGATATGAGACAGTTATAGCACAGTGCAATCACAAGGGATGGGGAATTCGCAGCTGTGGCCATTATTCAGACGCTAGTGTGGTGTGCCGACCTAAAGGTAGACTTACGATACAAGTGCTTTTTACTAATATCTTTACTAAGCATGAAAACAAAAACAATCAGAACACGAAACAACCTCTGCACATTAGGATACGATGGAGCTCTACGAGCAGTTGGTAACGCAGCATTTGGACAAGGAACAGGCCAGATATGGTTGGATGACGTGCAGTGTAAAGGAGATGAGTTATCAATATCTGACTGCACCCACTCAGGATGGGGAGCCCACAACTGTTATCACCACGATGACGCTGGCGTAGTTTGCCGGCCTGCAGGCAAGGTTTCGTTACAACCACGTTTGCAAAGCAAACAAATTTATTTATTTTTCTTCTTTTTTTAGCCGTTTTAGCTGATTTAATTCGAGTATCGTTATTTGCAGTAAAAAAAAATGCAAACAACCAACGTACAGGTAAAACCATTCAAAACAGACATTTTTAAAAGTCCGGTTACTCCTTTTCCCTTCATCTAACTGATTACAAGAGAAATCTTTCATTAGGGCCGGTAGAGGGTTTTCAAAGGGGTATTGATAACCCGTCGCCGACTTTTATATAACAGTATGAACATATCAAGCATCAATTTAGGTCTTTTAAAGAGCTTTGAAGATGTTAAACAAGCTTACTTATATTCTCACATTGACAACAGTTCGTTTGGTAAGCCGCACCAATTCACCATCTTCTGGTCGTGTTGAAGTGTTTTACGATGGTTCATGGGGAACCATTTGTGACAACTCGTGGGACTTACGGGAAGCTGATGTAATATGTCGCCAGCTCGGATATGATGGAGCTTTATCAGCTCCTGGTGATGCAGCATTCGGGCGAGGAACTGGTCAAATATGGTTGGATGAGGTAAAGTGTGAAGGATATGAGACAGTTATAGCACAGTGCAATCACAAGGGATGGGGAATTCGCAGCTGTGGCCATTATTCAGACGCTAGTGTGGTGTGCCGACCTAAAGGTTGAGTATCTATACACGTACTTTTTAATACTATCTTTACTAGACAATTTTAACCTTTCTATCACACAAAGCGATCTTATTTGCACCAAAGCAAGCATGCCCCGCCATTATTTTTATTCTTATTACCATTTTATTACATCCTTCCACGAAAGGCCTTCTTGTTTTCAGGGTCATTGATATTAGGAATTAACTTTGAAAGATCCACGACGATATACATTAAGAAATTATTTTAATGACTAAGTTTAGTGTAGGGGCACTAACCTTGTAATCTGTTGATTAATGAGATCAGTACTGAGTTATGGCAAAAGTGTAGCTTGCTTAAGTGTAGCCAAGTCATTCTTTGATTGCAGTTCTCTAGTTCTGGACTTTCTCTTCATCAGAGCAAAGCTTCAGATAGCGAAAAAATATGAAAAAAAAAACAAAATTCCTCTAGAAATCAAAGAACGAGCAACTCTATTTCTTTAGTTGTAATAAAGGTTATCACAGGTCACTGTGCGTAAAGTTTATTTTTTAAGCTTTCATACTTGAATTGCCAGCCACAGCATCTCATTAATATGCACGAATGTCCAGTCTTTGTGGGCGATGAGTGAATTTGTAGACCTAAGCTTTTCTCTGCGTTTCTGAGACTGACCACGTGACTCGGAGGTCAGGGCTGAGCTATGTCAAAAGTGTCGCTTGCTTAAGTGTGGCCTGGTTATCCTTTCATTGAACGTGACCTGTTGACACAGGAAGTCAGGAAGATAGGTTAAACAAGAATCGCATTGATCAGTCATTGCGCAGCAAAGCAGCAATTGACACAAATTAACTTAATGAAAGTCAAAGGAACTTCACTTACCGGCGATCATTGTTCTTTCGTTTCTTTTTCCAACTTTCCAATGTGAAGAGAAAAGAAGGCAGAGACTACACAGATGGCGTGATATTGGCGCAAACCGAAATCACTAACGATTTCAGCGGTATCATATTGTTGGGCATGCCTCGGTAGATAGATATTTTTAAGTAACTAACGCCGTATTTAACTCAGTAGCTAGCTTCCGGTGGTTCCAGTTCTTTGGAGCTGCGCTATGCTACACGGACAGTTCTAATATCAAACTACAGTAATGCGTTGACGCTATCTCAGAATTTGAGGTCCTCTTTCGACCTGTTCAAAGTGGTATTCATCCCGAATTTTGCCTCTGATCCCTCATCCCACGGCTTTGATCCCTGATCCCAGGCTTCTGATTCCTGATCCCACCCTTTGATTCCTGATCCCACATGCCTCGTTGCGAACCAGTTATATGGACAAAAGTAAATTTCTGGAACATAATGAAGTGATGACATCATATTCTATAGATAAATTGGTGTGCATGACAAAGCGCATGACTTAGGTGTGATAACAGTGGAATGTTCTGATCGATAAAGCCGGCCTTCGTAATGCAAAGCTTCAACTTTCATGAAGTAATTCATAATCAGGGAGACCTCATTCTTGAAAATATTGAGGGGCCGCAGCCAGGATAAAAAAACGATCTCTGGCTAAAATGATTAAAATTTTTAATCATTTTAGCCAAAGATCGTTTTTTAAATTTCAACTAGACCTCATTCTATCAAGAAGACCAGCGGCAGTGGTTAAAATATCGCGCGATACACTCAGAGGGAATTCATGGTGTTTTATCATTATAGTAGTTAACATAGATAGAAAGAAATGCTCTTTCTTTTTCCCATCCAAAAAGACTTGTTTGTGCTGGAAGTGTGAGAGGTTTTCACGTCTAAAAGTGCAATTTGTGTTAAAGTTCAGTTTCGGAATGAGAGACTTTAATGTGTCCATTATCTACTTCTTTATTTTTTTTTCCTAACAGAACGACGTGGAAAACTAAAATAATAATTGTCTCCTTTACAGATGATCTCAGGATGTCCACTCAGCAATTTCATTGCCAATTTCTAAGAAGGCAAATTTGAGCTCACTTGTTCTAGTAAATAACTAATTCCAATCGATATTAGATAATTTGTAGTTATCAAGTGAGTTTATAACGTATATTGGCCAGCGTAAAGAGTTAATAAACTAAACTAGTCTACTACAGTGGTAACAAACACTGGTCAACTTTTATTTCTGCTCAACAGCTGTTCGTATAGTGAAGTTCTCATTACCAAGTTCTGGTCGCGTTGAAGTGTTACACAATGGTAAGTGGGGAACTATTTGTGACCACTATTGGAACAAGCAGGACGCTGATGTAGTTTGTCACCAGCTCGGATACGATGGAGCTCTACGAGCAGTTGGTAACGCAGCATTTGGACAAGGAACAGGCCAGATATGGTTGGATGACGTGCAGTGTAAAGGAGATGAGTTATCAATATCTGACTGCACCCACTCAGGATGGGGAGCCCACAACTGTTATCACCGCGATGACGCTGGCATAGTTTGCCGACCTGCAGGCAAGGCTTCGATACAACCACATTTGCAAAGCAAACAAACATCTTTTTTTCCCCTTTTTTTTAAGCCGTTTGTGCTGTATCGCTATCTGCAACAAAAAAAAATACTAACAACCAACGTACGGGTAAAATCATTCATAACAAATGTTTTTAATAGTCCGGTTGCTCTTTTTTCCTTCATCTAACTGATAACATGAGGAATCTTTTATTAGGGCCAGTAGGGGATTTTCAAGGGGGTATTCATAATCCGTCGCCGACTTTTTTATACCACTATGAACATCTTAAGCATCATTTCAGGTTTTTTAATGAGCCTTAAAAATGTGAAACAAGCTTACTTATATTCTCACATTGACAACAGTTCGTTTGGTAAGCCGCACCAATTCACCATCTTCTGGTCGTGTTGAAGTGTTTTACGATGGTTCATAGGATCAACGAACGCTTTTCATTCCACTAATTTATTCGTGTTTTTCTCGTTGCCATGTTCCCACCAATAACGTAGCTCCATTTTCTGCCTTTAAAAGCACACACAACCCACAATTCCTCTATTCGCTCCGACGAAGGGCTAACGCTCCAAACGTCAGCTTTTGTAATCGTTACGGTGGCCAATTCACCATTTCAACTTTGTTGATATATCCAAATTAGATTTAATGAAGGCTTGCAAATTCATTGGAAAACTTATTAATTCTGGCCAGTGGCCACGCCACCCAGCGTTATTCCCGCCTTTCGGTCAAGTCAGAAGTGGAGTGTGGCCTACGATCTCTGTGCGTGCTAGGAAAAATTTCGTTACATGAGCATCGCTACTTTGTTAGTCTATTTAAAAGAAGTGAAAAAGAAACTATCAGTAGCCGCTTTAAAGGAAGAAACGGTCGCTGTCAGCGTTTCTTGTCGGCTACACAAGGCTTTGAAAATAAGTATCCAGCGAACCGCTGGTGGTCAATCCGAAAGGTACAACTTAGCGACTGAATGCAGATTAGTTTTACTAATCTGGTAAAAGACCTTCAGGCGTTTCTTAACCCCTTGTGCTTGCATTTTCGGTTTTCCAACTTAAGAGTTGAATTCTGTTCTTCCGATTTTAATATAACAACAGTTATCTTGGCATTTATACCGAATATTTCCGGCCCCTCCCCCAAAGATCGCTGAACAAGAGGAACGTGAAAGTTTAGACTAGAGAGACTGGGAGACCATAGGTGTCACATAAGCTTGATCTAGATTTTGGTCCAACATTTTAAAACTGGATACCACTCACACGAAACAGCCGAGGTGTCACAAGTTTTTCAAGCCATTGGTGTGATCCTTCCCAATACAGGGCCAATACGAACAAAGCTGACGTTTCTTCTCTTGACCGTTCTTCGTGTCGCACGATACCAATAGAAGAGGTACTGGCACTGAATATCAAACTCCTTCGAGCTGGTCTTTTTTCGACGCTGCTTTTCGCTGGTTCGTTTGAGCTTTTTTTTTCTGGGCTGTCTTACCTAAGGTATTCCCAGTACAGCAAAAATGCCTCCTTTTGCTCATTGCTTCCTATCTATGCAAATCCGGGGGTTAAAAATTCGTAGTCAAATCTGTTACAGTTGCTTAGGGTTGCGAAGTCGCACTTAGCGCGAGCAAACAATATCAAGGTACATAACTTCGTCCGTCAGACCTAAAATTTTACCGTCAGTCGCCAAAGCTACCCCCCATTGAGACCCTCTTTTCAGACTTCATTCTTCACCACCTCTCCAGCTAGAGTTCACCTGTGCGACGGAGCATTTTGTTACTTGCTATCAATCAATGGTGAAAGTATATATCTATCTCATTTATTGTTGAAAACGTACTCATTTAGTTGCGGTAGGGATCTTTAATATATCAAAGTTCAAAAACTCAATCAGTTAAGATATTTTATCGGCTCTAAGACTATGTAAAACTTCAAGGTATTTGCTAAAAGAAAAACAACAAAAACAGGCAACAAAAGAGTAGAACGTTTGAGCCATGATCTCGTTGCAGGGCTTCTTGTCTAAACTGCAACTGAATTCCCAACTCGACTCAGTCTTTATAAAGCGTTTACCCTTCCATATTTCGTTTCGTATTTTGTGATTCATTGCAAATGGAAGAAATTAACTCTTTCCTAACTGGTGAATAATGAATAAGCAATGAGGTTGTAGACCATAATAAGGTATCTGAGCTCATTCATCAACTTAAAGATAAGCCCTGTTTAAAACTTCTAAAGTACCACTCAAAACATCGACCTCGGTTTACATCGAATAGGACGCCCAACTTTATTCATTATTGAACTGCCCCAAATTCGAATAAGTGAGCTTGTGGACTCAGACACCGCACTCAGATACCCATTTAGTTATAGTCTTTCCCAATACAGTTCCAGGAAGACATCTTCATAACGGTTTTCAACAATTAATGCATTCGGGTCGGAACATGAAGAGTTCGTCATTTTGAATCAAGGCCGTTTTTAGGTCGTTCCAAAGTCGAAATTAACGGCTAAGCAAAGAGAGAGGAACGGCCTAGAGCCGTTCTAATTTGAAGTAGCCGTTCTTAATTGATTCACACACCGAATGTTTTAAGCATATAATCCATTTAGTATCAGTTTGTTTATGAAAAATTCGGTGTTTAAAACGATGCCAAAATAAGTCCAGGAAACACAAACTAATGTTGGAAAGTCTTTTTCTTTGAATTTTGAAGAGATTCCAAGAACTGCTTCGTTGTTCATTTTCCGGCTTCGATGCATCCATGTGATTTCAGACATAATACATATGCTCAAGGCAGAAAATTTCACCCTAAGAATCATTCTGAAATATGACAAGAAATGTGTGAGATAATTATCAGAATAGCAATCTCAAAATGTGACTACCATAATCCGTTTCTAGAGAACGGACCATTAATTGTCTTGCCTGTATTACATAGAGTGATTTTGTTACGTTTACGCGATGTAAACTGAATGTTTTCTTTATACACAGTTCGTTTGGCGAGTCCAAACGATGCACCATTCTTGGGACGCGTTGAAGTACATCATAGTGGTACATGGGGAACAATATGTGGGGACTACTGGGACCTAAAGGATGCTGATGTGGTTTGTAATCAGCTCGGATACGATGGAGCTTTTTCAGCCCCTAGATCTGCAGTATTTGGAGAAGGAACAGGCCCAATATGGCTGAATAGAGTGTGGTGTAGAGGAGATGAGAAATCAGTTTCACAATGCAGTCACGCCGGATGGGCAGGTCATAACTGTGGTCATGACAAGGATGCTGGTGTGGTTTGCCGCCAGATAAAAGGTAACTTCGATGCTGCACACGCTCTTATCTATATAATCTTAACTTTTTCCACTGTTCAGATTGCAGAACCTAAGCGGATAAGTCAGTTTTTTCATACTATGTGACAGCATTCTTAGCCACCATTTGAATACATGCCACGCAAAAGCTTAAAAATTATCACAGACGAAAAATTAGTTAAAAAATTTTTCGCCTTACCATCTCTTTCAGTGCTGTGTAACGCAGAGGTAATTTCAAGCTGCACTTTTTGTCTTAGAATGGCAATTACAATCATTCTGTTTTGTTGACAATTTTCAGTGAAAATAAATTCAAGCCCATCTTTCGAAATGTCAGGGAACCTTTTAGATGTAGACAACCTTAACATCATGCCAATTAATCTGTTGGTTAAGCTTTGTCCTTGATTTTTAGTAGGTTTTACTCGAATTGATCAAATAACTTTAAAACTAGACCAATCAGCATTTTTCCCTAATTTATGGGTCAAGTGCCGCTTTAGGTAAACCATAAGGCCAAGAGAATATCAACTGAGAGAACTTATCCCCGCGACCTCTGATAATTTGTTTACGTCTATTTATAAATTTCGCGCAACGCTGGGAAGTTGTCTTATTTATACCGTCCCATGATCTGTAGATGGCTCTGTCTCTGGGTCGAGGGTTAAGGCAAAAATTCAAATAGCACGTTTTNAAATAACTTTAAAACTAGACCAATCAGCATTTTTCCCTAATTTATGGGTCAAGTGCCGCTTTAGGTAAACCATAAGGCCAAGAGAATATCAACTGAGAGAACTTATCCCCGCGACCTCTGATAATTTGTTTACGTCTATTTATAAATTTCGCGCAACGCTGGGAAGTTGTCTTATTTATACCGTCCCATGATCTGTAGATGGCTCTGTCTCTGGGTCGAGGGTTGAGACAAAAATTCAAATAGCTGCAAAAGCATAGAGGTCAGCAATTAACGACACTGAGTTCGAAATTAAGAAATCATCAAATTCCAGTAGGTTTGCTTTCTGTATTCTGGAAAATGTTTTATGTCATCATTATCATTTTAACCATATTTTCCAAGAAAAGTTTTGGTAAAATATTGAAACACACGCGAATGATTTACAAAAACATATTTTCGTACTGAATTCCTTTGCCCGCGAAGGTGTGAATAGCCAATTTTAACATTCAACTTTAATGCCTCCCGAAGGATTTCGTGCGGCAAAACATCCTAGTTTCGTTTGCAAAACATCCTAATTTCGCCAAACATCCTAATTTCGTTTGCACATGGAGATCTTTGCTACCTGTCTGCGTCAAACAAAATATGAATGGAGAAAGATAAAAAAGGACGAGAGTACATGGGTGAAAATAAAATAGAAGCACGGCTATCAGCATAAGAAGTAAAAGAATTCGACGCGAAATAGCGATGGGAAAACTTTGGAAGCATAAAAATACCCTTCTTCGTTTTTTAGCGAATGTCCCTTCTTTGAACGAATTAATAGGGTGTGTAAATTTAATGGGTTGCCTTGAAATTTGGTCCGAAAACTCCCAAGACACCAACTGACGCCACCGACGAAATACGCATCGGTAAAATTTTGATCAACAAACTTGACAGATAGAATGCAAAGCGACCAATGCGGAGATCGGAAACACCCCACTCGGTTCTGAAGCCCCTCAGGATTGAAAGTGTGCAGAAGTTTTATTTGTACAGTCAGATTTGATATGCAACTAATTCTCTCAAAGAAATATCGCCCATTTCGTATTGTCGCACTCGATTCGGTTTACGATTGATACAATGAGAACTCCTTTTTCTCAGTTCCGGAATGAAATAATTTCAAGAGCTTCCAAGTGACTTCAGACTTTGTAAGGTTTGAAGGGTCTTTAAGTAAGTTAAAACTCTTCTGCACACAAACATTCCTTTTCAACCACTTAGCCGGTCAAAATGTTGGAAAGAAGATCGTCAGAAAGACAACAAACTTGTGAAGAGCCCTCTAGGACGATATATTGTTTTTTCATTTTTGTTGCGTCGATTGCAATTGGCTCCGATTAAATGATCAGAAAAGAATGTTCTTATGTCTTCTTTTCAATTAGGTTATCAGAGATATCTACTGCAAGCATACCTTAGAAATCCAAGCGAACATGTACACGAACTGGTTGCCCGGATCTAGAGACCGTAATCGCAGTAATATCTTCATACTATCGATCAGAAAAGTCGTTTTGTGAGTCTATGTCATATTCGTCTACATATGTTCCAACCTCAGCAATTGTCACTTCGATGATAAAGACGTCAACAAATGTGCCATCTGTCACATTCCAAACTTCTGTAGTAGTTTAAACGGCTCCTTTGTCGCTGCTGAGCCCTACTGGCTGATCTCCAGAGTTAAAAATTGTTCCCTAATCCCAAATTTGGTGGAGTCTTGTTGCTTCGTGTGGACGGTCGGTGTTAAAGCCCCTGCCTTGTCTTTGGCAGTTTCTTCCCGAACTGTCCTTTACCTCAACGGGCGATACTTCTCCCCAAATTCTTTCAAAGCACTTTCAGTCTCGGGGTTGATTTCCTCTAAAGGCAAAGGCGCTTAAAGTTGACATTTTGCAAACTCCCTGCTGGTCTGAAGGACAGGATATAGTAGGAATTTTCATAAGTAAAATACTTGGGTGCCCATTTTGTCAATCTGTTCAACGAATCCTTGGTAAATATTCCAAAGTGAAGGGAGTACTTCGATGCGATGAAGGTCTCATGCTTAAGAACAAGTCTCTGTAAGAATCAAACATCTTGGGAAATGAAAAATTTCAACCCCCTTCAAATTTTGCATGCAGTAAGAAATTCAGGGGGGGAGGTGCGCAAAAATCCCTCTTTAAAGGTTACAACACTCTTGTTGCCATGGTAACAATGGCTGCTTGTTCGAGGTCTGGACCTCATTTTCAATCAAAAACGTCGCAAAAAAAGTGTAAAATATTAATCTCTTTATCTCAAGCTAAATACAACATTAAAAAGTGGTACTTCTACCATACATAGTGACATTATTCGTCTTTACTTTGAGGCATTCAATTTTCCCTGGGAGGGAATGTGAACACACCAATAGATTATTTATCTCGGTACAGTTTCGGTCATTTTTGTTGTAAGGTAAAAGAGGGAAAACTTTCATCTGAATTTCTCCAAAAGTGCACCGGTTCTGGAACTGAAACTACCCACCTAGTTGGTCATAATATTTTAGTTTTACATATGTAAAAATCTCTGCTGGCCGGCCTCTACTTTCCATAGGGCCAATTCGCGAACGAAGCTCAAAAATCAGGTGTTGCATAATTTGGCGATGTTTACACTTCATGTTCTCAACAACAAACGTTTCAGACAAATGAAGCGTGCGAGGCTTTGAAAGAATGTTATTTTATGAGCATTATCCCGAAGAGAAATTTCGCTTCTGGCAGTCATATTTTTAAGAAATTGATCAGCCTTTATGGAGTTACTCGACGTAACTTCAAACACATACATTAAATCGCGTGCATATCATCCAGATTCCGAGTGCTACACCTTCTTTCACGCGGAAATTTCAGCAATCCGAAATCCTCTGACGATACACTATTATACTTGTATGTCATTGGACACATGCTAAAGTAGGCTGATCCATACGAAACTACCCTATCACCGGTCATTTGTCATAAACATGTAGGTTATCACGATGGCGTGACGCTGTATTTCCCGAGATAAACTAACAACCGAGTTGGGAACCGAGTTAGGAACCGAGTTAGGAACCGAGTTAGGAACCGAGTTAGGAACCGAGTTAATATTTAATTAATTTGATCATCGATTTTGATTATTGACAAAATAGGGTAATTTGAAAGAGATAACACGAGCCCTATACTAGAGATCCCCCCTAGATAGCTCATATTCGCCGTAAAACCATACCAACAATAACTAATTTGCATACAAGTGCTTTCCTCCTCCGTTTTAAGCACATCATAAGTCACGTGCGTTTAAAGGTAGCCTAGTATCTAGGATGGATGTCGATTGACTTTTTCTTGCCGAAGTCTAATGGCTTGAAAGAGAAACGCCATTGACAAATTGTCACACGAAGATCTGTTTACGATCGTTTTTCCATCGATCGCAACACGATCTCAGCTCGAGGTTTTTCACCGATTACTCCGCCGACTTTTAACCGATTGCCGTGAAATTTGAAATGCGGGAGTTTCTCCTCAAGCGCTTGGAGGGGTACGAAAGCTTGACTGCTTAAATCGCCCCCGATCGCAGAACTAAGCCGTACTTATCTGACACCATGTTTTTGTTCGCCATCTTGATGTCAACCTGCTCCAGGTTTTTCATTGATTACTTACCCCGCTATTAACCGATTGGCGTGAAATTTGAAATGCCGCCGTTTCTCATCAAGCTCTAGGAGTTGTACGAAACCTGGAGTCGTCTACTTAAAATTGCGATAGACTTCTCTTGGTGGCCATTTTCTGCGTCATTCTCGCGTTATAAATCATGTGATTTTTGACTTATGACCTTCAGATTTCGCCAGCGCTGACAACTGTCGATGCACTCTGTTGTCTTAGCGACAAGTAGCCCAGGAGTCAAACCCCTATGAGAAATTTCCCTCCAAACATGTCTTAAAAGGCGTTTTTCCATGTTTTAGAACCTCTGCATACGTGTTTTTGTATCCGTTTTTCAACGATTTCTCCGCTCGCTTTCAACCGATTTGCGTGAAATTTGTAATGCCGCCGTTTCTCATCAAGCCCTAGGAAGTGTACGAAACTTGGAGTCCTCTACTTAAAATCGTGATGGACTTCTCTTGGTGGCCAAATCTGAATTTTCCTGATTTTCTGCGCCATTTTGACAAAGTCAGCAACAAACTCTAACTTTGTTTCTCTAAGACTTATCTTGAAAGGTTTCCTAGAGTCAAAAGAAACTAATAGGCAAAAACTCGTATTTAAACAAAATAGGGCTATGATGGCGGCGCGAGGTTTAGGACGTAGACTGGACCGAAAGACGGCGTAAAAATTGGTGAAAATCAATCGTCGGAAAACTTCGGTTCCCAACTCCGTTCCCAACTCGGTTCCCAACTCGGTTCCTAGCTCGGTTCCTAACTCGGTTCCTAACTCGGTTCCTAACTCGAGATACAAATGAATAAAGGCTGATACTTTCTAAAGAAACTGTTTGGGGCTGCGTCGGTGGGGGTAACGAAATAATTTGGATATATCAAMAAAGTTGAAATGGTAAATTGGCCACCGTAACGATTACAAAAGCTGACGTTTCGAGCGTTAGCCCTTCGTCGGAGCGAATAGAGCAATTGTGGGTTGTGTGTGCTTTTAAAGGCAGAAAATGGAGCTACGTTATTGGTAGGAACATGGAAACGAGAAAAACACGAATGAATTAGTGGAATGAAAAGCGTTCGTTGATTCCTGTGGGATTTAGACTGCCGGTTTGAAAGAACAAAAGCTCATCTTTTGGATATGTCAACTTTGTTGATATATCCAAATTATTCCTAACTCGAAAGATAAGTATCCTCGTATTTGTCCGTGAAGTGTCCATCGGTCGCTCCTAAGAAGACGAGAAATGAACATTTTTCGATATTTCGGCAGATTTCGGCGCATTCTGAAGTAAAAACAACCAAACCAGAAAGAGGAAAAGCTTGATTGAACGCTCGTAAGCAATGAGAATCCAGGAGCATAAATCGCAACCTGTCAGCGGTAGTACTCAATGTAAAACGCAGTAGCAACAACAGCAATTTGCACGACTCGCGCGAGAACCATAACAAAGCGGAGATTTTGAACAACTCGGTATCCCAGCAGTACAGAAAATGGAACAGGGATTTCATCACAATCAATTCCAAAATATTTACTTTTTTCAGGCAGTCTTTTGCATGCTCGAACATTATATTGGCCTTGAGATTTATTTCCCTTGATAATACGTCCGCTAAGTTGGCCATACAGTCTGTCCGTTGCTTCAGGCTCTAAAAACACTTTTTCAAGCCTAGATTTCAATTTTCGTACCACTTGCCTTCACTGGCTTAATTATTGGCACGCTTACCAGTCAGAAGTTCTCTTTACATAAAGAGAGCTTCTTACTTATCATTCTAGAGAAGAAAGGAAACTATTCTATGCCAAAATATTTTCTCTCGCGATTCCCCACTACATAAATATGAAACATGAGGCTCTTACTCTATTACTACAGCATTTCTAAATATATTTGTTAAATATCTTTTAAGGGTTTACGGTAGTGATAGTTTGATTTGTTTCTCGAAAAATACTTCTACATAACGGTGTTTTTTTTTTCGATCTTCTTCACTCTAGTCGAACCCCAGATTGTAAACTTGCAATGTCCAGGCTCAGTCGTTCAGGGAAGTAACGTAACTCTCTATTGTAATGTCACTGGTAATCCTTCTCCGAACATTACTTGGATATGGGAGGACACAGGAGAGGTTCTCGGTAGAAATGAGGAGCTCACTTTTTCGGCTGTTAAGCGTAGCCAAGCAGGCAATTATCAATGTCTAGCATGGAATGGAATTGGAAACATGTCCACCAAAACATGCAGTCTGGACGTGTTTTGTAAGTAAAAAAATCTGTTTCACTACAATGCAGAGAAACACTGTGTGGCAATGTGTAAAACTGCTTTTAATAATGATGTCTTTTTTATTCACAAAAACTGTTCTCAATTCAATAATTTATTTCAAAGTATGAGTCGCTCCACGAGTCGTTCAAAACAAAGGACCAAGTACGTTTTTTTTCTCAAACAACGCTTGGTTCAGGGCCGTCTAGTCAATAACAGGACCAACTGTGCCCAAAGTCCTACCGGCCTGTAGGCTTCGTGTGACGACTAAAGTTCTTCCAATACGCTTCTTTTATCTAAGTCGTAATTTACAACGCAACGAGCAATGTTTTTGGCAGGAAAACTCTTCTAAAACAAACCAATCGAATGCAAAATTATTTTCTTTTCCTTCTAGGCGATCCCCTGGTTCTAAACTTCGAGTGTCCAACATCAGTCATTGAGGGATATGACGCGACCCTTCACTGCAATGCAACTGGAAATCCTCTCCCAAATATTACCTGGATACAGCAAGACACAAAGGATGTTCTTGGTACAACTAAACAACTGACTCTTACAGCTGTAAATCGCAACAAAACAGGCACTTTTCAATGCATAGCGTGGAATGGAATTGGCAACAACTCCACCAGAACATGCACCCTGGATGTGTTTTGTAAGCCATTTGCTGTCGTTACAGTACAGTAGAACCTCTCCAATTCGGTTGACTCAGCTCCCCTTAACTCCAAAAAAATGGACTTGAACCCATTTTCTCAGTCATTTGCTATCAGCTAACTCGTATTCGGTAAAATCTAACTCCTCGCTAACCCGAACAAAATGCGATTTCCTCTGGATAAGACACCATTTAAATAGACCGCCTTTTATAATCAGCTAACTTGTACTCGGTATACTCGAACTTCCAGCTAACTCAACAAAATACCATTTTCCCTGGATTTGACCGCATTTGTTAGTCATTTACTCAAACTCAAACTCGCCTAACCGAAACTCCCTTGTAATTCGACCTAACTTTGCTTTCCCTTGCTTCAATTTATCCTAATCACTAAAACTTTAACTACACAGATTTCGTTCCATCTTCGTTCTTAATTTATTTACCTTGAATTGAAGACAAAGCAATCAAATGCAAAATTATTTTCTTTTCCTAATAGACGAACCTCTCGTGCTGAGCTTAGAATGTCCAACACCAATCGTTGAAGGACATGACGTGACTCTTCATTGCAATGCAACTGGAAATCCTCTTCCAAATATTAGTTGGATACGGCAAGACACAGGAGATACTCTGGGCACCAATGGACAACTGACTCTTACAGCTGTAAATCGCAGCAAAACAGGAACTTTTCAGTGCTTGGCGTGGAATGGAATTGGCAACAACTCCACCAGAACATGCAGTCTGGATGTGTACTGTAAGCCAATAATTGTTGCTACTAAGGATGATACAGTAGAACTCCGCGAACTCCAATTTGGTTAACTCGAACTCCCGCTAACCCGCACAAAATGCGATTTGATTTAAATTGGACACCATTTTCTCAGTCATTTCCTTTCAACTAACTCGAAGTCGGCTAACCCAAACTTCCCTATAATTCAAACTAGTTTTCCTTTGCCTTGGCTCAAATTTACTTTAACAACTCAAAGTTTAACTGAATCAGAACTCGTTCCACCTTCATTCGTAATTTATAACTTTAAATGGATGACAAATCAATCGAACGTAAAATTATTTTCTTTTTCTTATAGACAAACCTCTGGTTCTGAACTTGGAGTGTCCGATATCTATCATTGAGGGATATGACGCGACTGTTCACTGCAGTGCAACTGGAAATCCTCTTCCAAATATTACCTGGATACAGCAAGACACAAAAGATGTTCTGAGTACCAATGGACAGCTGACCCTTACAGCTGTAAATCGCAGTAAAGTAGGCACTTTACAGTGCGTGGCGTGGAATGGAATTGGCAACAACTCCACTAGAACATGCAGCCTGGATGTGTTTTGTAAGCCATTTATTTTCATTACCCAGGAAGATACAGTAGAACCCTGCGAACTCGAACTCGATTGACTCGAATTCCCTGCTGACTCGAACACAATGGATTCGACCCCATTATCTTAGTCAATTCAGGGGCGGACCCAGGAATTTCCTGAAAAGGTGGGTCGTACACCATTGAAGTAAAAAATTCAACGCCAACCTGGCGCGAGCCCTTAAGGAGGTCCGGTGGAAGTGAAACAACTTCGTAAAAAGAAATTTCATTTACTGTTTTCGGAAGAATCAAACAAAATAACGAGAAACGAATGCTGCTCAAAAGCGGGGAGGGTTGCAACCCCCTCGACCCCTCCCCTGGATCCGCCTATGCATTTAAAAATTTCTTCATGATATTCAGGTTGTTAAGAATTTGATCGTTATGATTCTGCATTTTAAGTTTTGTATCTAATCCAAACCTTTAACATGGACTAGATTTAAACATGGACGTACATTTTTTTAAGGTTAGTTTCCACTAAAGCGAAACTAATATAGTAAAACACATCAAAATGACAAGTTAAGAGTTTCCTTTTCAAGATTAAGTGTTTTATCTTACCTCATGTGTATAAAAAGAGGTTTTTTCTAGTTCAACCACAGATATTCGACATCCATTGTCCAGCCACGATAGTTGAGGGAAGTAACATAACTTTTCACTGTAATGCTACCGGAAATCCATCCCCAAATATCACCTGGATATGGCAAGACAAAGGATATGTTCTCGGTAGAAGCGAAAATCTCACTCTTACAGAGGTTAATCGAAGTCAAACAGGAACTTATCTGTGTCGTGCGTGGAATGGAATCGGCAGCAACTCCACCAGAACATGCAACCTGGATCTATATTGTGAGCAAAAATCTTTCGTTTTCTCCTAATTAGCCAGACTCTCGGAAAAAAAAGTGATAATTTTGTCAAGCCTGACACTACATTTCTCTCTGTAAACTGCACAGGATTTTCTAAGCCCAAGTTTGTTTTCACGTGTGTTTAAGGGAGCAGTGCTCATCATGTTAGCATACTTATGTTCCGAAACATTTTTACAAATTTTTAGCTGAGTATTTTCGACAAGGTATTATAAGGACGAAAATCCTCCCTTTCTGTATTTTTTTGTCAAGGGTTAAATAAAAATAGATAATCTTCAGGTAAATAAAAGTTATACCGCATAATGTTATAATGCACAATAAAGATCAATACAGGAATTTATTACACGACTCGGGCAGCCAGAGTGCCAATAACTAAAATGTTGGGACGAATAAACCGTAGGTCCCGTCTCCTGCATCTATTAATTAGTTAATTTGGTTAGTCAGGGGACGTTAAAGAACCCACTCACGAGATTACTGTGATGTGGTCTGGCCTGTTTATTGGGAATTGGGAGGGAGGGGGCATCTTCAAATAAGTTTCCTTCGATTGTTTGTAAACTGCCGATGCAGTCCGGCCAAAGTCCCCCGAAAAGTGTTGTGATACGCATTTGATCATATCCACATGTTAATTTGTGCAATATAAATATTTAATATTATTATTATTAATTATTATTGATTAATTTTCACTTTTTTTTGTTCGATTCCCTTCAAATTATGTTCTAGATGCTCCTGGTTTTCCGGTCTTTGTAAACAACACTGTAAACACAATCACTATCAGGTGGTCACCAATTTATCTACAATCTGTAACGTATACCGTAAATGTGAGACGTGAAGAAGAAACAGCTTGGATGAACATAACGTGTAAAACGAGTAATTGGAAGAATCACTGCATAGTGACCCAAACAGTTGCGAAAGTTGTTGGCCTCGAAGAGGTGTCCGTGTATCACTTAAGAGTTTATGCTAACTACAGAGGAGTCAGAAGTGACGCCAGTTTACCGTCAGGAGCCTTTAGAACAGCAGGTGATGTGGGATTACGTAGTTTCATGAATTATTGTCGTGAAAAGTAAGGTTGCTCCTTTGTATGTTGTATTCAGTTCACTATACGCTTTCTTCGGAGATAATGTAGTGAAAATAATTATTATTAAAACGGAGCACGAATGCTCTGGTTTTTACTTATATTTCCACTAATTCGTAATAAGTGCAGATGTATAAGTATTTGCTAATTAAATTAATCGTTAATTAGCAATGCTAAGGAGGCCCGACAATTATTCAATTATAAAACATGCAGTATAAAGAAAAAGCCAAGGGGTGTTTTTTTCTTTATTATCCATCATTCAAATATATCTTTGTTTCGTGCATCAACAACACAATAAAGATGTATTATGACGCTAGTTACCTCGGCCTGTTTGTTTACTTAAGGTATAAGTTTTACCTTATCTGGATATCACAGGCCTGTTTGTTTTACCACTGGCATTTACAATAGCAAGTGTTGGTCACGGTTCAACCTGCTGCATAAAATTTTTTCCCCGTGCGCGTTTGGTGGTCGATTGTAGGGAAACCATTGATTGCTACACACGACCAAGGAGGTTTCTCTTTCAGTTTCCATGTTTTTTGTTTGTTTGTTTGTTTGTTTATTTGTTTTGTTTTGTTTTGTTTTGTTTTTTTCAGCACTGGCTGAACTGGCGCTTGAGCAGATAAGTGTTATGTTTGTGCTGGATTTCAGTGGAAGGTATAGGATCTTGGAGCACGTCAGGACTGGAACTGTCTAGCAACGGTGGGTGTGGTTAGTTTGAGTTGATGAACTATAATCAAAACAATAGTAACACTTTATTACTTGTATAGCGCAACTTCCAATACAATAGCCCAATCATGCTTTAAAAGTATCTAAGATGCTCCCTTGAAAACAAACTAGAGGGTGTGGCCCTTATGAATATTTGTATATTTATAAGAGCCGCTCTACATTGATAAGCAGTTATAGTTCAAATCAGTCCTTTAAGGTATTTTTTCTATGATTTGATTATTAAAAGTAACTGGTATATATTTGGACACTGGGTCATTTAATGTGGGCTATTTATAGCTCGTTTTAGGCTCGATCTTTTTGGTTTTTTTTTTTTTGCCTTGTTTCGTTTTGTTTTGTTTTTCAGGTTTTCTCTTTTATTTTTAATATTTGCTGAATAGATGTCGTAAACTTTGAGAGTTGCATTGATTCGTCGATTGATTCCTTTAATTGATTGGTCCTATAATATGTAACAAAATTGACCTCGTATGGTAAACCTGGCGTCAAATCTTCGTCTTCGCTTCGAAAAAGGATTGATCAAAGTCTAATGTACATACCATTATTGTAGTCAATGTTCACGTGTCCATCAATCGACTAAACTGTACAAACAAAACATGTATCTGGTTTCAAAGATTACAAAACTGTTCTCGCATGAGGCGTCTCCATGTTTCCGTCAATGGATTATTGTGCTATCTATTCTAGAATCCATTAGAAGGTGCCCTAAACCGTATCTCTACACGCAAGGTG